CTGGGCTAGAGTGATGTTAATGCTCTCTATCTTAATTGAGGTTTCGGTTTCACTGGCGTACACGTTAGTCAAAGTCATCAAACTGTGCGACTTAGACTTGTGCATTTTACCATATGTAATTATATCTCAATAAAACATAAACAAACAAAATACACTCCATTCAAGAAGAGATGGGGATGAGGGTATCTGGGATCTGACTGTGTTTAAAAGTAAAGTGGTCCAGCGAAACAGTGTGACAGCTATGTTAAATAAGGTGTTTATTATACTTCTTTTGTAACCAGACTATTTGTAGTACTGGCAAAACACCACCATTTGAATAACCCAATCCTTCTTAGAATAAAAACATGAGACAGAGAAAAATACTATGAAGGGACCAGTTTAAAAAGTTTAGAGAAGCTTTTTTTCCTAGCCATTAAGAAAGTAACTAAATATAAGAAAAAAAAAAAAAAAAGGTTTGGTTTGGCTATCCGTAACAGAATTTCAACATATCAAATTTTCTTAAATATATTCTCAATACAGCATTAGGCTCCAAAAGTAATTCAATATGATGCAAACTTCCTTTCATAAATACATCACAGATTATGATGATGGATAAAGAATTTTGATACTAACGGTAAATTCTTCACAGATAATTCCCCAGAGCTGTCATCATCATTAGAGTCCATTCCATAGGGACACACTTCCTGGTTCTGTTAATGTATGAAAACACAAGAAAACACTGTTACAACCGACGTATCCATAACAGAGCATTCATTTATTCAACAATAAACACTTACTGACAGTTTACTATGGAGCCAGGCACTGTTCTAGAAACTGGGACTATAGCTGCTAAAAAACAGATTAAGTCCTGCCCTCTTAAAGCTTACATTCTAATGCAAGGAGACAGAAAATAAAAAAAGAAAAAGAGACACATGAATAATTTCAGATAGCCATAAGTGCTCTGAAGAAAATACCTGGGGTGAAGTGACAGAGAGTTAACTGATGTTGGAGGATTCCTTTAGATCAGGTGACTTTGATGTGAAATCTGAAGAACATGAAGGAGTCAGCCACTGAAAGATCAGGGGGAAGAGAGGGCAGTGGAAATAGCAAATACAAAAGTCATGATGTAGGAAAAACCTTGCTGTGTTCAGGAACGCAAGGCTGTTGTAGCTGGACCATAGTCGCTAAGAAGAATTGTAGATTCCATGGAGAGGTCAGATAATGTAATACCTTGACAGCCATGAGTTTGAGTTTTGGTCTAAGTGTGATGGGAAGTCACTTAAATGTTAAGCAGGGAAGCAAAATGATCTAAGTTTTAAAAAGATCAATCTGGCAACTGTCTGAAGCATGGATTAGAAGGGGTCAAGCACAGAAGGAGTTAGGAGGCCATTATAGCAAATTAAGCAAGACATAAGCTAGGACTAGAATCTTTTAAAAAGGAGCCCTGGTGGTGCAGTGGTTAAGCACGTGGCTACTAACGAAAGGCTGGCAGTTTGAACCCATCAGCTGCTCCGTGGGAGAAAGATGTGGCAGGCTGCTCCAGTAACTATGAGTTGGAATCGACTCGACAGTACCTAATAACAATCTTCAGGAGTTGAAGCTCAGTGGTGGCCTTGAGATAATAAAGCTTGCTCAAAGACTGAATTAGTGGGGGGAAGGGGGATAGCGGCAACAAGGGAGAGGGATACGTCTTATGGTTTTGGCCTCAGCAAACGGGTAGGTTCCTTTACTGAAATGAGTAAGACTTATGGAGGGAGGTAGAAATACACGTTATCTTTGGAAAGGGCAAAGTAAAGAGTTGTGCTTTGGACAAAGTAGGCTTGAGATACTTTATAAACATTTAAGTGATGATATCAAGTAGTAGCCATGTGTGTACATGTGTGTATGTGTAAACATGTATATTTGTGTTCAGGTCTAGGGGTATAAATTCGGAAGTCACCAGCAGACAATGCAGTATTTAAAGCTATCAGAGAGGTAAGATAAGACAGATCTGGGACAAGTGTTATTTAAAAGTAAAGAAGCAGCCAGCAAAGGAGACTGACATGGAACAGAAAGGTAGAAAGAAAACTAGGGAAGTATGTCAAGAAAGTCAAGAGCTTAGAAAGTATTTCAAGCAAAAAGTAATCCCTGTGTTGAATATTACTGCAAGATAATATTCTTACTTCAAGTAAGAAGACAGAGTAGTGACCACTGAACTTGGTAATATGGAGGTTTTGGTGAACTTGACACAAAGTGACAATAGAATGGTAAGGATATAAGCCAGATAAGAGCGGGTTCAAGTGTGAATGGAAGCTGAGGAAGTGAAGACAGTGAGTGCACTGTGTTCTTTGGAAAAGCTGTGCTGTGAAGGGAAGCAGAGAAATGAGGGGATAGAGGAGGAGAGAGACCAGGAGAGACTTCTTTTCCTCTGAAGGTGAGAAATACTAAAACACATTTGTATGATGGCTGGAATGATCCAGTAGAGAAGGAGACATATGTTGGAAGAGAGGAGCAAACTTTCAAGTGCAAAGTTCTAGAGGAGGCAAGAGGAAGAGAAGGGAATCTGGTGCAAAGGGGAGGGCCTGGCCTTTGATAGGAGCAGGGACACTTATGCCACTGAAGATTACAGCCTTGGAAACCCTATGGGGCCAGCTCTACCCTGTCCTAGAGGGTCGCTAGGAGTTGGAATTGACTCGATGGCACACAACAACAATGGGAAGGAAGACGGAGAATGCAAGTATAGACATGAAGATTTGTACATGCATACTGAGATTCCTTAAAAGGCACTGTAATTTAGCTCTTTTTAAAAAAATTTTATGCACACAGAATATGCTAATCTTATGCGGAATGAGTTAAAACTGTTCATCAGATATAAAACAACCAGACATTTAATCCTGTTAAGTTTTAAATTTTAATATCAATATAGCTAATGTTCTGAAACTAGTCATATTATTGAAGGTTATAAAAGAGAAAAGGATATTTAACTATACAGTGATATAATTCAAAACTAAACTATTAAAAAGATCCATTATAAAATTTAAGGTTCAGAAAAAGCTATTAGAAATTACTTTCTGATTAATTCCTATAAGCTAACTACTGGTAGGCAAGAAAAACATTCTTATTATTAAAGCACTTTAAACTTCATTACTGTTAAATTAAGTTCATAAACATGGACGCACAAGTTCAGAATGATGGTTGAGAATGAGTAACACATTAAACAAATATATGGGGCAAAACAAACTCTGATGTTTTAGATACTAGGAATATATTCATGCCTCAGCTAACATTGACAAAGGGGAAAGGCCTGCGATTATCGAACTTCCCCCCTAATAGTTTTGTGATCATTTCATTGGATACTCAGTTTACACTATTTCTTCTGTGTGACTTCAGCAAAAGCTTTAGAAAGGGAGGAGGAAGACTGGAGGGACTTTTTTACTCACTAGTTACTAAACAACAGGGAAGAAAAAAACAAAAACTAGGAAAGATTACATTTAGAAGAAAAAATTTTTTAAATATTTTAACCTTCATATTAAAGTGAAGAAGTCATATCTAATCTTTGTAGAGGCAATCTCAACTATACTGTATATGTGAGCCCTGGTGGCACAGTGGTTAAGCACTTGGCTGATAACTGAAAGGTCAGCGGCTCGAACACACTAGCCACTCCTCTGGACAAAGATGTGGCAGTCTGCTTTCATAAAGATTACAGCCTTAGAAACCCTATGGGGCAGTTCTGCCCTGTCCTACAGGGTCGCTATGAGTCGGAATCGACTCGACGGCAATGGGTACATATAATATACATATTACACTGAATGAGCTAAACAACCAGAAATTTAATCCTGCTAAAAGTTTTGTATTTATTGATACTAAATTTTAATATCAATATAGCTAATGTTCTGGTATTAGTGCTATTATTGAAGATAAATAATATTCATATTTGTATATTACATATGTGTGTTGTCTATACACATACACATTCTATATATCATACATTAAAAAATACGGAATCACCTTTGTTGCAAAGAAGCAAGGACTCTTTTACTGACTCCTCCTGTCAATGGATAAGCAGTGTTAACTACTTTCTCAGCTCCTCCCACACGCTTACCCCAATCACCATTGTATGGCTTTCTTTTCTGGCCTTCTGGACTGCGTGCCAGTGCAACTGTCTTCACTGGCACAGCAAATGGATGGCAGGAAGGAAGTAGATTTTGTTCTGTGAACACCTGACACTCACCACTGCTTTTCTCTTTCTCTGCCCCATGCAGTTTCCCTGGCAGTGGCTTCTGGGAAAAAGAAAGGAGCAACTGGCTCATCATAGCTCCTCTCAGGACTAGCGTGCAATGAGACACAAAGAATATCCTAAATTACTTTCTCCGTGTGTGCTATATTTTGGCTGGCAGGACCGTACTCGAGCCCCTTCTATACAACCTTGAACATAAACAGAATCAGATTAAAAAGTGTTTTTTAACAAAAGTGTTCAAGATATTTCTTGTTTGGAAGTTAATGTAAGTCTTCCATATTTACCCAACTAGTAGGTAAGTAGGATTCCTCAAAAAGCACTTAAATATTCCCCATCCCCCTAATAAAGTCAGTTCTTATAGAAATCCATTGGACAGCCAAACTACATAGAAAACCAAGAGTTACGGCATTAATCAAACCTTTTGAACTAATCCAATTCAACTACCACTTTTAGACCTTTAGCTTAGTGGCCTTACCTTTGACTCATTTAGTTCAACATTCAAAGGGATGCAATGCTAACAAAGGGGCAAGGCAGGCAAACCCCACTTTTGTCATTGACTGCATGGCAAGATCAGCATGAATCCAATTTCCAGCTGGAAATAGATCCAAGCCTCACCTTCCCACATCTCCATACTTTGTCGCCAGCCACCTACTTCCATGGCAATTCCTCTCTCTGACCCTAACCACCCAGAGTTCGATCTAGAATTCATCCTCAGCTACCTGGAGCTGGGTCGAAACATCCCTGGCCACCCGAGGCCAGGACACAGGGGACGAGACATAGGCTCGGGAGTCTGCACAACTCCCTGCACTTCAGACCAGGTGACCTCTCTCTCTCTAGTCCCGAGACTAGGCCACAAGTTCTAAGGACTGTCCTTCATCAACTGCCCATGCAGCCTTTCTCTGTCCACCAGCCACCCAAAGCTGGGTTCCTCATGAGTTAGGACAGTCCTTCAGACTGACTATGTAGGCCTCCTTTGAATTAGCTACACCAAGCTAAGTCAGAGCCTCATTGCCCTTTGTGTATTCGTTAATTCTCTGTAACAGCTGACAAAATTCACAGACTATTACCTATACGTACAGTTACCCATTTGTTATAACCAGAAAGGATACAAATGAAGAGACGCATCAGGCAATGTCTGGGAGAGTTCCTGGCACAGGGTCCCCGCTGTCTCCAGGAACATGCTGCACCTTCTCCTGTGCATGCATGTTCTCACCAATCTAGGAGGCCCCAAAAAGAGAGCTCCAAGGTCCAGGATCCTTTAGTCATTGAGAACTCAGTGAATATGCATCACTGGGGCCTTAATGCACAGTTATGATCATCCAATCAGTAAATATGCAAGATACATCTTGCCCCCTCTCTTCCAGAAGTTACCTCAGCAGGCATGGAGCCTGTGTCAGCCCCTACTTGCCTGGCTGTTTTGGAAAACAAAAGCACCTTAATTGTTCAGGCTATTTTCAAAAACCAGATACAAAAGGCCAAATCCAATTCTGTCTCACAGGGACCAATGGAGGAAAAGTTTAAGCTATTTCTTCTGCACTTTGTCTTGCTACCTGCTTTCAGAACTAAGTTAGACAATCACAGGCCTCAATCATCTTTATGTGTGAAGCTTTGTTAATTGACCAGACACAATAGTTTGGCTGGAGTTCTGTACAAGGATATGTTTGAATCAATTTACTGATAACAGACTATCAACTGATTTAAATAATTGATCTAAACTACTGATTCATGAGCTTGACTTTTTTTCTAAGAAACCAGCCTTTGTAATAAAAATACCTGAGCAGGTTCTTCTGTTTGACGTGAAGTAAATTTTTCTTTCAATGCATATAGCTGACATGCTAGGTAGTAACATTCTTTTCTTAGCTGTAGGATGATATCTTGGGCTTCTTTCACTTTGGATTTTTCATTTTCCAAAGCCAAAACTAACATTCTATTGTTGTCCTGATAATTTTTCAGCAGTGTGGAAGTGTTGCCTAAAAGAGGATTAAAAAATTGTATTAGTGACTAAGTCTAAATTTTAAAAACGATGCAAAAGGTCATGAAAATCTCTTACTGGTTATCTGGCATGGCGCAACTACAAAAGACTTGCGTTTGCCAATCTGTGACAAATTTTTATTCCTTTTCTCTTTCATTCGTTTCTTTATGTCTTCAAGACTATCCTGAAAGGACTTTTTAAGACACCGCTCCTTGGCCATCTTCTGGCTAGGAATTAAAAAAAAAAAAAAATTAATCTTTCGAAGGGGCAACATTGTTATAAAATTTAAGACTGAAAACACAGGTTGTCCATAAAGAATTGACTACATAGATAGCTAACCTGGCACTAGCCTAGATTTTGATGCTTTTGAAAAAGTCTTCCCTATTACATTTAATCAAATTAAAATCACAAAAGAAATGTGTCGCATCCTAAGTTTTATTCCGTGTCTAGACGGATGCTTTTTAACAGGGGGCGTGGTAGAGAGAATGAATGAAAACAGACAGGCGGGAAGTCGGTCTCCATCTGCGACGCATTCTCATAAGGGGTCTTAATTCAAAAGAACTTGGGAAGAACGTGGGATATTTGATCTCCGTCTATAATTCTCTCATCGGGTTTGCCGCCGACACAGCCAGGTAGGACTCTAGTCAGCGCCGGTTTCTCCAGGGTAACCGACGAAGTAAAGGCGTGAACAACGAGGGAAGGACGGTAACAGCACTTCACAAAGTAAAGTTGCTAATCTGTGTACCCTTACGGTGAGCCTGGCTTTTAACTAACGTAAGTGCTTCATTTACATAACTTAATCCACACAACACCACAAGGTAGGAGGTTCAGGTCCCCATTTATTTAACAAAAGAGGAAAGGAGCATCGGAAGGCGCAGGTCGGGTGGCTGAGCAGAGATAGTCACCCGGTTTGCCCGACTCCACAGTCCGAACTTTTGGCCACCTAACTAAGATCGACAGAGACCCCTGAGGGAGGCGCAACAGGGGTCACGACGCCCCAGGTCCACACCTGAAACCCTGCGGCCTCCTTTTTCCCCCGAGGGGCTCCAGGAAAGCCGGGGGGTAGGGGGTGGGGAGAGGAGTGCTGGAAGCGGACACCGCGATCAGCGTCCTGCGGGCGCGTGCAGAACAGTACCTTGGCCGCCACCTCTGCCGCCGCCGTCGCCCTCCTCACATTCCAAGACTCGGCGAGACTGTCCGCCGTGCGCGAGTCTCAGGCCCGGTACCCCCCAGGGCTCTGCCACCGTCTCCCTTCTCCCGCGACTTCCGCGGCCACATTCGAAATTTTCCGCTGGGATCACCCATTGGCTGGCTGAGAGGAGACCACGTGATACGACGGAGCCAAAGTCAGTCACTAGCGCCGGGAGAGTCCCGCCCCTCCGTGAGGCACCACGTGACACAGTCCAGCGCTTGCGCATCCGGGCATCCCGACGCAGCCCCGGGGGCGGAGCCATTAGTCCAGCCGCAGGAGCTGCTGAGAGTTTTCTCTGCATTGTCTCTGGGATTTTAGCTGTCGCGGCCTTTAAAACCAAAAACCAAACCCGTTGCGGTGGAGTTGATTCTGACTTATAGCGACGTATAGGACAGAGTAGAACTGCCCCAGCGGGTTTCCAAGGCCGAAATCTTCTCTGAAGCCGACTGCCCAATCTTTCTCCCGCGGAGCAGCTGGTGGGTTCCAGCCGCCGGCCTTTCGGTTAGCAGCAGAGCGCTTTAACCACTGTGCCACCGGGACTCCTCTGAGATCTTTAAGGAGGAGTAATTTAGGTCGTTCAGAACCATCCTGTTTCTTTAGGCTAACAGCTTCTCCGCGGTTGCGCTCAAGGACTCCCTCTTCTGATAAGAATGTCATTGGTTCGTAGCCAGCCCAAGTAGTCAGTCCGCTACACAGCGGTAGCTTTTAGGGAAATTAAAACAAAACAGGGAGGAAATTTTGGATTAACGAGATATTATTAGGGAAAGTGATGATATCTGAGCTATTCAGCTTTTGTACCAGGTTCTTTATCTTTGCTATTCTCTTTGGCTCTTTATCCTTAAGGATATCCTACGAGCGTCCGTCCAGTTACCTAGCCAGAAGCCTAGGGAATCATCCCTCCTGATTATTTTCCCTCAGTCCTTCCACGTCCAGTCACCCAGTTCTGTCAATTTGACTTTCTAAGTATTTCCGACGTCCACCTACTTTGTACCATTCCCCAAATTCAGCCTCCTACTACCTCTTTGCTTGAACTGCACCAGGCCCAGTGGCGTCTGAGTCGACTCTGCTCCGGTATGTTTTTCATAGCCAGAGAGACATTTTTACAAAGCAAATCTGATCACGTCACTCCCCTGCTTGAAACCTTTCAGTGGCTCCCCATTGCATTTGAGATGAAGTTGGGACTCCTTAAGGTGTTTGGTCCTTAAGGAACCTCATGGTCCCTGGTTCTTCCTCTTCTGAATTTTCTTTCATTTCTTTGAAATTCTTCTTGCTGCCTTTGCCCATGTTACTCTCTCAAAGTCTTTCCTCCTCCTTGACATGACTTATTCATCTGCGGGTATCACTGTAAAAGGTGAGTTCTTCCAGAAAGCCTTATCTGTCCCCAGAGCCCTCTTAGTACTCTGCTTTGTATTCTCTGAGCGCCCTACACTTTCACTTTGGTACTCCTGGTGGCCTTCACTTGTCATTGCCTGTTTTTTAAAGTTGCATAAGGGTAGGAACTATATCTGCCTTGTTCATAGTTAAATCTTTAGCACCTTGTTAGCAATTTGAAGTCAATACATATTCACTGCAATAATAAAGGAATGAATAAATGAAACCTAACAATTGCTTTGAATCTAGGCATTCATTCTAAAGAATTTTTTTAATGATAACTAACATTTACGTAGTGCTAACTCTCCTCACCTTAGTCTAAAGTCTCTCAGCTTCAGTGGAAAAAATTACAACATGCTTCCGCAACCAACAACTCCTTTGTTTCTAAGTGTCATCCACCAGATCACCTCTGTTAGTCTTTAGTTTACTAACATTGGGCAATGTGGCTCATTTGTTGGAGAATCATCAAGAAGGAAGGAGCAGAGAGGCTTTTTGTTTACTGAGGCCAGAGGGTATGAAGCGGAAAGTGAGGGTGGGGTGGGTTTCATGGGCATGAGATACACAGATAGCTGCCAACAAGCCAACTCTGATTCATGGGAACCTTATGTACAATAGAATGATATATGGCTGGTCCTGTGTCATCCTTACGATCTCTGGCATGTTCAAGTCTATCATTTTGGCTATTGTGCCAATCCATCTCACTGAGTGTCTCCCTCACCCATGATGGTCCTCTGCTTCACAACATGTCCTCCTCCAGCCATTGATTTGTCCTGATGACATCGCCAAAGCAAGCAAGTTGGATAGTGTTATGTTGTGATCCATAAGGTTTTCATTGGCTGATTTTTGGAAGTAGATCACCAGGCCTTTCTTCCTACTCTGACTTAGTCTAGAAGCTGCACTGAAACCTGCTCACCATGGATGACCCTGCTGATATTTGAAATACCAGTGGCATAGCTTCCAGCATCAGAGTAACACACAAACCATCACAGGATGACAAATTGACAGATAGGTAGTGGGCATGGGCACGAGACCTGTGCAGTTGTATAGAATGCCACACTCAGAAGGTCTCTGTGCTTGGTTTAATGCTCTGCTGTTAAAAATTCTTAACAGTTTTGTTTCTGAACATGGCATATCTTCACTTTGAGTCTTGCTGAGCAACCATGCATTGTTGGTCCACTGGAATTCTGTGCTCACGTTCTGTATTAACACACCTATGACAGGATGTACAGGGCTGCTAACAGCCCTAAGAAGCCGTGTTTTCCTTTTGAATCAGAACTTGCTTTGAATGCAGAAAGAAGGCAGTGGTGCTCTATGAAACACAAATGGTTGCAATAGCTTATCATATGTTTAAACTTCTATTGTTGTTAGGTGCCGTTGAGTCAACTCCAACTCATAGCGACCTGATGTATAACAGAAGAAAACATTGCCTGGTTCTATGCCATCTTCATGATCATGGTATATGTGAGTTAATGTTTTTGGCTATTATGTCACTCTATCTCATTGAGCATTTCCCTTGTTTTCACAGACCCTCTATCATTTAGCTGACAAGGTGTTAACCTATAGAAGGGGAACCCCATTAGTCAAAATTCCTTCTTTAGTAGATATTTAGAATATTTATGGCATAATTCAAGTTAACATCTTAAAAATCTTTCCCTAGAATAATAGTGAATATTTGTAGTGGCATTACATCGAAAGTTTTTCAAAATGTGAACGCATGTTGTCTTAGTTACCTAGTGCTGCTATAACACAAATACCAAGTGAGTGGCTTTGAAGAACAGAAATTTATTTTCCCACAGTTTTGGAGGCTAAAAGTCTAAATCAGGGTCTTGGCTGTGTTGATTCCTTCCTTGTCGGTAGCCCAAGGCATTCCTTGGTTCCTTGGCGTTCCTTGGCTTGTAGACGATCCTCACATGATGTCTTTTCTTGTGTGTGTCTCTGTGTCTATTTTTTTTTATAATTCAGAAGTGATTAAGTTTAGGATCCACGCTACACTGGTATGACCTCATTAACGTAACAAGAAAAGCCGTATTATCAAACAGCATCACATCCACAGGTACAAGCTCCAGGAATTAAACACATATTTTGGGGGGGACACAATTCAGTCCATAACACATGTTATTTCTTATTTCATTATATGATATATTTAGATATAACAGATGTTCACATTCTGCCCAACGAGTTTCTAAAAATCCCATCAGAACTGCTTACGATTATGTATCTGCTTTGTTCCTAACATTTATTACTATGTATGTATTTTACTGACTTTGTCATCAAAACCTTTGGTGACTGTATTTTTTTGGTACCTAATTATATTGGTTTAATGCTTTCTTATAGCTTAATAGTAGCAGGCTATGGAGAACCCATTACATGCACAGAGTAGATAGAAAGGCTAAAGGAATTGATACCATTTAATGTTGTTCTTTGCATGTTTCAGAAATATGTGTTGCTTTCATAGGATTGTAATTTATCATAGGGCAGAATCCATGCTCTGTAGCTTTTGCAGCAGTTCCCATTTCTTAGCACAGTGCGGAGTCACATACAAGCTTTGACTGTCTGATTCCAGGGTCTGTGTCCTTAATCACAACGCTATATACTTAAATTTAAATGCATTTAAATTTATTAATGTTGCTTTGACATTTCATCAGTCTGCTAAAGTGTCTGAAGGTATACCACAAACCAAGCATTGTTATTCTGTCCAATTTTCTATATCTTAACTTGTTTCTAACTTTGTTGTAAATATTAGATAATTTGTAGTCCCTTCAAAATGGTTCCATAGTAAGAGCACAGTTGGAATAATTTGAGACATGTAATCATTAAATCATCACAATAGAAACAATCTGACTATTCTCCTGTTACGGATTGAATTGTGTCCTCCCAAAATGTGTGTCAGTTTGGCTTGGCCATGATTCCCAGTCTTGTGTGATTGTCCACCATTTTGTTCTCTGATTTTCCTGTGTTGTAAATCCTACCTCTATAATGTTAATGAGACAGGATTAGAGGCAGTTATGTTAATGGAGCAGGACTCAGTCTACAAGATTAGGTTGCATGTTGAGTCAGTCTCTTTTGAGATATAAAAGAGAATCGAGCAGAGAGACGGGACCTCATTACCACCAAGCAAGAAGAGTCAGGATTGTGTGTCCTTTGGACCTGGGGTCCCTACGCCGAGAAGCTCCTAGACCAGGGGAAGATTGATGACAAAGACCTTTCCGCAGAGCCACAGACAGAGAAAGCCTTCCCCTGGAGCTGGCACCCTGAATTAGGACTTCTGGTCTCCTAGACTGTGAGAAGAGTTAGTTTCTGTTTGTTAAAGCCATCCACTTGTGGTATTTCTGTTATAGCAGCACTAGATAACTAAGACATCTCCTTATCTCTTTTCTGAAGTTATTATTATTCCTTCAAATATTTGGGATTGCTTATTAAGTAAAATAAGCACCCTAGGTGGCACAAATGTTTGCACTCGGCTACTAACCAAAAGACTGGAAGTTTGAATCTACCCAGTGGTGTCATGGAAGGAAAGCCTGGAGATCTACTTCTGTAAGATTACAGTCATTAAAAACTGCATGTGACTCCACACTTACTAGACTGACCATCTAAGCCTCAATTTCTCCATCTGTAAA